GTCCCCCAGGTGTGGAGCAACGCAGCCTCACAGGTCTTCTACTCCCTGGGCATCGGGTTCGGGGGTCTGCTCTCCATGGCCTCCTACAAGAAGTTTGACAACAACGTCATCCAGTGAGCAGGGCCGGGGCATGGGGGGCTCAGGGGGTACGGGCTGTCGGGGCAGGCCCGGGTTGCAGGCCCCGGGTTGCAGCTGGGGAGGTCTGAGCACCACAGCCCATCAGAATGCCCCCATCTGCATCCTCACCCCATGGGCGTGGGGCTGTGACACCCTCCCTGGCAGGGACACCTTGGTTATCACCATCGGGAACTGCTGCACCAGCTTCTTCGCCGGCTTCGCGATCTTCTCGGCACTGGGGCACATGGCCTGGAGGAAACAAGTTCCCGTGGGCAGTGTCACAGACTCAGGTGTGGGCTCAGGGAGGGGGAACACGTGCCATCCTGTGCCGGGGTACATCCTGGTGCCCTGCGCAGGGATGGGGCCATGGAGCTGCAGCCGAGCTCACACCCAGCCTGGCTACCAGCTTGCTGGGCTTGGCCGTGGTGTCCTTTCACACTTCCCTTCACCTCACCCCGCAGGCCCCGGGCTGGCGTTCGTGGCGTACCCCGAAGCCCTCTCCCGACTGCCCGGCTCCCCGTTCTGGTCCATCCTCTTCTTCCTGATGCTCTTCACGCTGGGAGTGGACACTTTGGTGATTGTCTCCTCAGGCAGCCCCATGTCTTGCCCCGTGCCTGGCCTTGGGGTGCCAGGTACACCCTGTGTCAGACATGCAGATGGCATGACGTGCACGGGCCAGGAGCATGAGGACGGTGCCGGGGTAGGGGGGATGCATGGCCCATGCATGTGGGACTGTCACTTGGAGTGGCAGGGGGGGATGTAGCCACGTCCCACTGGCACAAGGCAGGGGTTTCTCCATGTGCCCAGGTGTCACAGGGACGGGGATGAGCATAGGGACAGTGCCCTGCAAAGTCCCTTCGGCAAGGACCATCCCCTGCACGCAGCCCGGGGGAGGCAGGGACCAGGACATCCCCCACTGACATCCCCTGTCCCTCAGTTTGGGAACATCGAGGGCATCACCACAGCCATCCTGGACGAGTTCCCAGCCCTGCGTGACTGGCAGAGGAAGACAGCGTTGCTGGGCGCTATCTGCACCTCCTTCTACCTGCTGGGGCTCCTGCTGGTCACCCAGGTATGGGGCCCCCTGCACCCCCATCCATTGGCACCCAGCACCCTCAGGGTAGTGCTAGGGTGGAGGATGGGGAATGGCCTCTTCTCCCCTCCAATCTCTGCACAAGCCCTCAGATGGGAGGACGGCGGGCCATGCATGTGCCCTGGCATCGATGGTGTCCATGCCATGGGGTGCCCGGTGTGCGCCCTGCTGCCCCGAGCCGTGCTGACCCCGTCCCTCATCACCTCACAGGGCGGCATCTTCTGGTTCACCCTCATTGACACGTACAGCACTGGCTTCGGGCTGATCATCGTCGCCCTCTTCATGTGCCTGGGCATCGCTTTCTGCTACGGTGAGCAGACCAAGCAGCCCCCGGGCACGCAGCAGCCAGCTCGGGGGT